GCTCTTTGAATTCTCGGATAGCGAAAATGACTGGCAAACAGTCGATAAAAATAAACGCATCAGATCGCCTAATAACGTCTCACCCCAACCAAATAAATCTGATACGAGTATATTCATCTCTCAAAACAAATACACACCAATCTCTCCTGCGACTGAAAACGTTCCCATGGACAGCTCTAATGAACAAAATGTAGAAAATATCACTAACAAAAAAAGTCTACCTCTACCTATATTCATCCAAACACAAATAAATTACAATTCTTTTTGCCTCAAAATGAAAGAACTCACCGACGCATCTAGTTTTTCCTGTAAAAGCTCTACCAAAGGTGTTAAATTACAAACATTTAGCCCTGATTCATACAGATCAGTCATTAAATTTTTCAAAAGTGAAAACATCTCCTCCCATTCCTACCAGTCAAAAGAAAACAAACCGTTCAAAATAGTCATCCGCAACCTTCACCCTTCTACTGATAAAGATTTTATCTGTGACGAATTAACTAATCTAGGGTACCAAGTCAAAAACATAACGAATGTCCTCCACAGATCTTCTAAAACGCCGCTGTCCCTCTTCTTTGTTGACCTTGAGCAAGCTGAACTGAATCAAGAAATATTCAAACTCACTTCCCTCTGCTATTCCAAAATAAAAATTGAAGTCCCCCACACCAAAAAAGAAATACCCCAATGCCAACGTTGCCAGTCCTATGGCCACACCCGTAGTTACTGTAATCACAACCCTAGATGTGTTCGCTGTGGTGAAGATCACGAGTCCTCTGTTTGCACAAAAAACCGAAATGAACCGGCCAAATGCGCCCTATGCGGAGGTTCCCATCCTGCAAACTATAGGGGCTGTCAGTCTCATAAAGAATTACTAAAGCAAAGAAAATCACATCTCAACTCAAACATTAAAACCAATTATTTACTTAACGTAAACTCAAATGAAACTCACTCAGAAAAAATCTTAACCACTCAAAATTTTCCACCCCTTTCTCACTCTAAAACTACTCAATCTACCACAGCAAAAAATCCAACTAAGTGTACAAAATCAGAGCAGCCGTCAGCGAAAATTTTTTCAAATCATTTATCTTCTTTTATTACCGATCTAAAAACGCTAATTAATCCACTTATCTCACTCCTCACGACTGTCATCGAGCAACTTCTTAAAAATGGCCGTTAATCAACAATCACACCTACTCACAATCCTCTTGTGGAATGCCAATGGAATACTAAATAACATCAACGAACTACAATTAACTCTATCAGAAGAAAAAGTAGATATTGTAATGATATCGGAAACTCATCTTACTAAAACGTCTTCTCTCAACATTTTTGGGTATGAAGTGCTCAGAGCTGATCACCCTGACGGTACTGCCCATGGAGGAGCCGCTCTACTCATCTCCAACAAAATATCTCATTCTCCTTTTCTACCATTCACCTCTAACAAACTACAAATCATTGCCTCCTCTATAATTATAAATTCGATTCCAATTACTTTCGCTTCTGCTTATCTCCCACCAGGGTGTCAGTTTCCTGAAAATGAACTATCAACATTTTTACTCACACTTAATCACACTTATATTATCGGAGCTGATTTTAACGCCAAACACCCAACATGGGGAGCCAGATCAACCAATACAAGAGGACGTTCACTCTATAGTTTCATATCCTCCAAACACGCTAAAGCACTCGCTCCAAATGCGCCTACATACTGGCCAACACACGCAAACCGTCATCCAGATATACTTGATTTCTATTTAATAAATCTGCCAAATCACTTCTTAACAAAAATCACTAACTTAAATGACCCGGCCTCAGACCATACTCCAGTCATGCTACAAATAAACGCCCAAACTTCTTCTAGTATAAACAATTTCANAAAAAAGCCCAAACTTCTTCTTGTATAAACAATTTCACCCAAAATCAAATATGCTGGCCAAAATTCCGAAATCTCATGACGAAGAACTCCCATCTTAATATTAAACTAAAAACAAAAACCGATGTCGATCTGGCAATTAATACACTCACAGAGAACATTCTCAGCGCTAAAATCAACTCCCTATCTCCAATAATAAACAAGCAATCTGGCAATCAACTTACTCCTGAATTAAGACTACTCATAACAGAGAAGCGGAGAGCCCGCAATCAATGGCAGCGCACTCACTACCCTGAAGACAGACATACATATAACTCCCTAACAAATAAACTCAAAAAACTACTAAAGAAGCACAAAAATGAAATGTACAAATCTCACCTCTCATCCCTATCACCAAATAACGGCTCCCTTTGGAAGAAAACTAAATCACTATTAAAACACAAATCAGTCATGCCTCCCCTTCAACGTCTAAACAACACCCTAGCCGTCTCCACTCAAGAAAAGGTCGAGCTACTTGCTGAACATTTCGCCAATGTCTTCAAGCCACATTCAATCCTCCCGGACACCACACACTTAGATCTAGTAAACCGATTTAACACGTCTCCACTACCCATGGCCCTTCCAGCAAAACCCACCAGACCCAAAGAAGTGTCATCAATCATCAAATAACTCAAGACCAAGAAGTCACCTGGACACGATCTTATTAGTAACAAAATAATAAAAAATCTACCGCCCAAAACAATCATACTGCTTACATATATTTACAACGCGATCTTTCGCCTTTCTTATTTCCCCCCTAAATGGAAAACAGCAATTATTATCTCCATCTTAAAACCTGAAAAACCCCCAGAAAAGTCGACGTCATATAGACCAATTAGTCTTTTACCAGTTCTCGGTAAAATCCTCGAAAAGCTTCTCCTTAGCAGACTTCTCCCATTAGCGCAAGAGAAAAATACCATACCTGAATTTCAGTTTGGTTTTCGACCAAAACATGCCACATTCCATCAACTCCACAGAGTCGTAGATACTATTGCTACATCTCTCGAATCCAAAAAATACTGCTCTGCCGTATTCCTCGACGTCGCGCAAGCATTTGACACGGTATGGCACACCGGCTTACTATATAAATTAAAAAAAATATTTCCTGCACCATACTTTCTACTACTCAAATCATACCTTGAAAATAGGTCTTTTAGAGTCAAACTTAATTCAACACTATCCGATTATCATAATATTCAAGCCGGAGTCCCCCAAGGTAGCGACATTGCTCCTTTCTTATACATCATCTACACAGCTGACATTCCACATACCGCAAACACACTCATCGGAACATACGCAGATGACACTGCAATACTAGCTGCCGATCAAGATCCGCATAACTGTAGCAAATTTTTACAATCTCACCTCAACATATTATCCAAGTGGTGTGACACCTGGAAAATAAAAATCAACGAACTAAAATCTACCCACATCACCTTCACCCTTCGTCAAAATGTCTGTCTTAACATAATTCTCAACAACACTATTATTCCACAAGCAAGGGAAGCGAAATATCTGGGCTTGCTATTCGACAGAACGCTCACATGGGATCCTCATCTTAAAAGTAAACGGAAACAGCTAAATACTTGTCTTCATCTAATAAGACCGCTCATCCAACACAACCAGCACATATCCTATCGTCTACTTCTTTACAAATCCCTCCTCCAACCAATATGGTCATATGGTATCGCGCTCTGGGGTGTTGCAAAGCCGTCTAACATAAGGACAATACAGGCGTTCCAGTCTATTTGTCTCCGTATGATAACCAAAGCACCGTGGTACGTCACCAACAACTCCCTCCACGAAGACCTCAAAATAGCTACAGTTAAAAAAACTGCACACATATATTACAAAAGACTACATTCCAAAATGCAATCCCATCCAAACCGTCTCGTTACTCAGCTACATTCAACAATTCTTCCGGGCAATCCAAACAGACGCCTCAAACGCAACTGGTCAAGAGACCTTCTTAATATTATTTAACCCACTTAAAATTAATAATACACAGGTGGCTCTAATGTGAGCTTCCTCCTCACCGCCATATCATTGTCTATTTTATTCCTATTCACATATTTACTTATTGTACATATAGCTGTATAGATTGTAAATTTTCTAATAAACGTTCTTAAAAAAAAAAAAAAAATATATATTTCTTTACTTTAACATTTGTATTTTTTTTGGAGAACTATTGAGAGTGAAGACTTTTTGAGCGTAATATCTTCAACCAAATACAATTTTCGATAGTTTGATANTTTAATTCTGAATTTGTAGATAATGATTTCTTAAAGCTATTTAATTTTTCTCTTCAATTTATTTTTAATACATTTTATAGTTTCATATGTATATATTGATTGGGTTAGATTATCCACCACCCATTTCGTCTGATATTATGTTAGGTATTTATATATTACATGTTTGATTTATTAAGTATATTTTCTATCAATTTTTTTTAATAATGACACCGCTTTTAACATTACCAACTATCATTATAATTCAAAATAAATAAATAATTAAAATTTTAAATCAACTCACTCAAATTAATAATTAATTATTAATTGCCATCACACCATTTTATAATTATTAAAAAAAATAATGAATCTTGTCCTCACCGTATCATTATTGATGTATGTGTTTATAACTAATCATAAATGTTGGATACACAAAAGAATTTTAATCTAAAAAAAAACAGCTCGAAACGCTTGGAACGTAACAATAAATAAAAAATAAAATAAAAATAAACAATGTTGGCACATATGTCGTGAGTTAACTCACTGAACTTTTATTATCATTCGAGTGATTGTGGGGAAGAAATTGTCAATTCTGTGTGGTTCAAACAAATAACCTGCCAAATTTTATGTGTTTATTTTATAATATTAATACAACTTTCATAATCACTATATTATTAATTATTATGTATTCTTTAAGGAGAATATAGGTGAGCCTCTTTCCCTATGAAAATGGGATAAGAATACTTCCACGGCCTCTTTGCCAGTCGTAAAAGAAGAAGATTGTGTCAGGGCGATAGTCAGCGTAAAATTTTGTCCCATCTCGGATGTATGCGGGGACAAAAGGTAAGACGAAATAAAGTAGTTAGAAACGGAAAAGGCCTGATGAATAAAATGTTTGATAGCAACCTGGCAACTTGTACGATAGTTGTTTCTCTAGTTATATGTACAGATCTACCGAACGCTTGTAGTATCAACGGTGTAGGGACATCATCACTAAACTCTAGCCTAGATTCGTGTATAAGGAAGCAAGATAGATACAAAGTAAGAATAGGTACGTGGAATGTTGAAACATTAACTGGTATAAGTAGAGAATTAGTAGAAGTATTGAAGAGAAGAAAAGTTAATATTAATTGTGAGCACGAAATAAGAAGAGGTAGAGGAAGACTAATTAGAATTTTTAGAATTTTCTAAAAAGGGGTAGGGAAAATTATTTTCAGAATAATTGATTCATGTAACTTTAATAGAAAATGTCGTCTTATGTGACTTGTATCTTGTGAAAAATTTTGTTTTTAAGGCTTGCTCCAAAGTTTTTTACAGAATAAATTATTTATTTACACTCTATTAGGTTCTAGAATAACTAAAAGATAAAGTAAGATCCTATAGTTTGATATAACTGAAAAATTTAAGTGTTGATTTTTGCATATTTTTAATTTTAAACTTTATTACTATATTAATAATTACATAGGTGTTAACAAAACTATTATATTTAAATGTAAATATACACACCTATTTTATAATATGATTATTATAAATATATTCAATACCTTAAAAAATTATGGTCTTTTTATCTACTATACGCTTTTAATAAATAACTAACACCATACTAATAATATACTATGATAAATTATTATTATGGTAGTTATCATGAAAATAACTTCTCACTGATTGTTCAACAATGAACGATAACACAATTGCGTAAATCAAAAAATATGCGTCAATTAATAGACATGAATTATTAAAGATTTCTATATGATGAAAAATATCCAGACATGAAAAATTATGAATAATGTATACTAAACAACAAATGATTAATAGAAAATTGGTCAAAAATAACTAAACTTAAGAAAAATCTTAACAATTATAAGCTATAACAATAAAATTATAATTTTTTTTACGTCATATAATCAAACTACAATACGGTTCCTATTTAAGAAAATTTACGTTTAGAATTTTCATACAATATTTTCCTTTATAAAGATTTTTCAATAGTTTCCAAAAAAATGAATATCTTATGCTCAATGAATCACTCTGTATTTAGTTTTAATAATAAACTTTATTATTACATCAATAAATAAATAAGTGTTAAAAAACTATTATATGGAAAGATAAACATGCTTATTTCATATGCATGATTATAATAAATATAATCAAAACGTTAAAAAAAAATTGGGAACACTACCAATTTAACATCTTTACATAAGAAATACTGGTAACTTCATTGTAATTTTTGAAATGAAAATTAAATTAATAACCTTGATATTATTTACAAAAAATATATTTTTTGGAGTTGGAATTGATTGTTGCATAAATCCGGAAAAGTATGCAATATATTTTAAACAAGTAACAAATTATATAGGTGTTCATTTAACAGGATTAAACATGGAACATATATCAGTAAGAATATCAAAAGATAAAATTATAAGTATAGAAGATGTACTCAATTATAAATCAGAAAATAATAATGAATTATTAATTAAATATAACATTATAGTTGATTTACTCAACTATTTCTTTTCTAAAGAACTAGAAAATTTTTCCGAACACTTAAAAATCATTTTAGATGATTGTGAAATTTTTTTTAAAGAAAATTCGTTTGAGAATGCGACTTATTGCACAGTAGAACTTTTCAATGCAGCTAAAAATTCAAACGAAATGTTTGAATATTTATATAAAGCTATTATATTTATTGACTACTTGGACATTAAATTAGTGATAAGAAATTCAATTCATCCAAAAACGATAGTAGAAGAAATTTATACTGTTAAAAACTATATCTTTTTAATGAGAACGCGAGAAATTTATAATTATATAAATAATGACGGACACATTGAAATAGAAGTACTTTTAAAAGACTTTATTGAAATAAATAATTTCGTTGATAAAATAGTTGCAATAACAGATTCAATTAATAAAAAAAATGTTACTATTATAAATAGTAGAACGGAATTTAATTTACGAGAAAAGTACTATGGAGAATACATAAATTTTAAGTATAAAATGAATTTTGTCGATTTTGTTAGAGAAAAGCTATATCATTATTGTTCAGAAACCATTAATAACTTTTATTTGAAAATTGGATTTAATCAGTTGCTTAATCCTAATATACCCGAGTAAGTCTTATTTTTTAATAAAAATATTGTTGTCTAATTGGAATTTAATTTTTAGAATAATTTTAAAAACAAAAATGAACGGTAGTTAAATTGTGTAGTCTTAATTGTATTTTAAATAGAGTAAACCATCGTTTAGTTTGAACATTGTATATAAAATAAAATTTATTACAATAAGGATCTATGGTACTATTAAGGAGACTTAATAATAATTATAATTGTATTATTTTAGGCTTATGCCATCTCAGAACTACGATTTTCCTCAACAAAGATCAATTGAAAAACTAAATACTTTGTTCCGTGAAGGAGATTGGAAGCTGTTAAATCATATAAAAATAATAATTGATGATGAAATTATCACTACTAATCGAATTACTCGAGACAATGTAGACGATTTTAATTTTAATCTAAAAAAAAAGTATTTTTTACAGCTAATAAGGTGCAGATATACCGAAGTATTGAAAAAGTATAACATTTATATGTCTGCTATTATTCAAATATGCAGACATGAAAAGACTAAAAAAAATTTAAATGGCTATGTAGATTGTATTATTCAATTTATTGATGCCGTTAAAAATTCAAAAGAAATGTTTAAATATATGTCGTTAGCTTTAGATAAATTAAAAGCTACATTTATTTGGGAAGTGATGTGTAAATCACATTCATGTTTAACACAAACGTATGATTTATTAAGTAATCTTTTCCCTAAAATTGAACAACTTCATTTAACTAATAATAATTTTATTAATCTATCTTTCAAAGAAATAAAAACGAAAGTAGATAAATTTTTATTAGATTTTCAAGTTGCGCGTAATAAATTTAATCGTGTGCTTATTGACGAACGTAAATATTCAAGTGTACGTTGCTGGTTTAAAGGTGATAGTTTAGAAAAAAGTCAATTAATAAAATCATGGGAGAATATTGTTTTGTCAGCTAATAATAACAATACTATTGGAAGTCCTATAATTTTGTATGAATATGCTTTGGAACACTTTAAGACGTTTTTTAATATTGCTATTACAAGTGAATACAACAGTTTAGGTTTCAATAAAATAACTATTAACAATTGAGGAAAGTTTTATATTTGTCTTTTATTTTATATTAATGAACTTGATAAAACTTTTAATTGTTTTTTTTAAATTTAATTGTTTTATCATAAAATTACTGTAGTAATATTTTATTTTTATTTTTAATAATTAACAGTACTACGAATTTTGGCTTGTTAAATTGTATATAATTCATATGAAATATTATCAGCATTTGTTTATTCTAATTCAATATTTTTAATGTTGTTTTAGTTGATATTATGTATTTAATTAGATTAACTACAATTAAAGTGTTCATAGTTAAACCAGATTTTTGCTATTTTTTTGTTTATAAAGAAAATCTTTATTAATATAAAAATGCATTTTCTATAAAATATAGAGAATATATTCCTACATATATTTTGTACAAAAGAATGCTCTTTCATGTTTAATAATTTTTCAAAATTATTTTCTAGTGTTTCATTTGTTAAATTGTTCTTGTTTATAGAGATATAAATTGCTTATATCAATTGCTGAAGTAGAATTTTTCGGTCTCTTTCTTGGTCTTCCTCTACCTCTTCTTCCTACAATATTCATTGCTAAAACTGTTCTTACGACTTCCGATTCTTTCCTCCTCAAAACATGACCAAACCATCTAAGTCTAATCATTAGACTTCGATCACTATTAAGATTCTTGAAATATCTTTAGTTGTATTTGATTGGTCAATGTAATAGAATCTTTTACGTGAGCGTTTTATGGAATGCTAAGAGGGTGGTTGAATCTTGTGTAAGGGTATTATTTTTGTTATTCACAATCTCATCTAATAATTTATATTTAAGCTGATTCAGGGTATTTGTATAAACGTATAAATCCTCGAGCTTTGGAACATTTTCCTCTGTTAATAATTTAAAATAACAATTATTTTATCACAACTTGATGGTCCAAATATTATTCATCTTATTGAGTTGGGTAATAGTGGCCCATGATTAGACTCGATTGGATTTGTAATATATGCGACATTATTGACTGATAGAGTATGTTTCTGTTTCTCAAAGAACATTATTGGAAATTGAAGTTGGACATAATACGTAAGGAATAACATTGGAAGTTAAATCAAGTTCATTATGATTCCTATGGTTCACGAGTTTTATTCAGGAGTGCCAGTTGGTTACCGCATTGTTGAAATTCCTAAAAATCTGATACACTATCCATTAATATCCAATCAACTATACTCTATAACTGTGAAAATAACACATCAAGACGATTAACTTTAGTGGTGAGCCTGTTACCATACATCTACACATACTTAAAAGCTCTTCGATTCTATAAAAGCAAGAGTAATACTAAAAAATAATCACTAAATCACGACTAGTTGATGAGATACGACGTGAAAACCTTAACATTCTTTCTGCTTTTGGGGAATTCAATTATCAATGGACGATATTTTAGACGTAATGGAAACACTGTAAATGAAGACTGCATAGTGAAATTAGATTATTTTTCCTATCAACCATTTTCGGTTAACGCTCTATCAAATAATGATGAGATACGAATATGTATTCAACAGCAAGATGTTTACACCCTCCCATCTGATTCCTATCTTTTGATAAATGAAGAACTCTAAGGAGTTCCTATCGGCTCAGATGTACAATTGTTTAACAATTGGCTAGCTTACTGCTCCTCCGAAATAAGATATTTATTTTGATAAACATGAATTATATAATTAATTAAATGATTAAGGATAGATGAATAACTCGTTTTGATTATTTTCTTCTACCTGACTGATCAAACACAAATGTTAAAAATTAAAATGGTAATATTAGACAAATTTAAAGTATAATTAGAAGTTCCTCAGAAGGGTCATCTATTATTTCTATTATATATGATTGACTTTTGTACTGTTTTCAGTTATTCTAAATATTTTTCTTGATAACTTAAAATTATATCTACTTATTAATGATATTAAGCTACTTCAATATGACCTTGATCCTTTTTAAACTTGATATTAAATGGATCTAAATATATATATATAACTTATTTTTTCACCGTAAACAAAATTGTGTTAAACTATACAATTAATATTGTCGTAACACAGTAAAATGAAAAAAGGTAAAACTGTAAATGTGTAACTATGTAATGTGTACGAAGATGAAGATGAGGATGATGTGGTGCCTGCTGTCTAGGTATTCACGTGCGTGTTGTCGTACAGCAGTCACCGTGCTCGGCTGACACTCCGGGTTAGCTGTGGGTGTCGAAAGGCTGTTGTTATAGGAAGGGAGAATAAGAGTAACACCTAGGTATGAGGTGCAGACGAAGTGCAAGACACAAATACTCTGAAATGTCGAGGAAAAGAGTATATAGGTTTGAAAAGGAATAAACAAAGACTTTACTTTAAACAGGAAGCCGGACAGCGACAACCGAGTACTGAGACTGATGAATGACACAAGGCACTGGAGTCGACTGACGACGATGGTCAGGTTTATTGGGTTTTTATAATAATTAGAACTATTGCCGATTTGGCAATAAATATTATTTGTTAATTCATCAGTCTTAGGCAGCGGATGTGCTGTCTGTATTTTATTCAAATAATTCTCACGATTATGAAAACGTGACACCATCACAATATGTATGATCCTAATAAAGTAATGCAGGTTAAAGACTTCTATTTGATACCCACGGCTTAAATTTTTTGAACATGTTTATTTTANTATTTGATACCCACGACTTAAATTTTTTGAACATGTTTATTTTATTTGTAATAAAGCAATTAGGAAAATAGGATTTTAAAATAGAATTGTTCCGAAATATTGACACTTTAATGTATATCTTAAATTAAAGCTTTTGTAATATACTACACTATGAAGAAAAAAATTCAAGATATAGATCGTATTCATAGTAAAAATGTGCTATTTTTGTGTTAAAATTCTTGGTATTGTATTTTAATTTATTTTAATATACCTTATAAGAGGACTACACTGATTTTCATAAATATTATATAAATTTAATTAATTAAAATTAATTGAAATTTAATTGAAATGTAAAAAATAAAGTGAAACTTATTTAAATATTTTTGCTCATTTTAAGTCACAAAAAGTGACTTTAAATTTGACTTAGCTTGAATTGCCAATTTTTTTGAACAATACGTGTAACGAATGGTTGCCGAACCGATAACACTTGCGTCTATCACGCTTGAGGTTATAGTTTAACACCCGCCTTTGCATTGAATTTTTTGCATTTTTTCTTTAATTAATTTTGAAGTAGAATTTTGCTTTTGAATAATCCACCAATTTCTTAAAACAAAACTCTATCTATAGATTTGCTTCGAAGCTTTTTTATGGTAGTGATTTTAATCACCGTCAGATATTATCTATACTAGTCCCAACTTTGCCATAACACCACTTGTGCTACCGTTTTTTTCCCATAAGATATTACATAATTTTAGTATTTTATCCAATACAATGTATCCAATAAAATTTCAGAATCAATATAATACACGATACATTCAACTAAATTATTTTAAGGCTCAACGAGCTTACATAGTGCACCTAGTGTAACTTTTTGTCACGTTACAGGAAAATTCAAGACTATTTTTAATAATGTAAGATATAATAAAAATAAGTTAACAGGAATATTTTCGTCATTGGAGTGTATTCTCAAAAACAATTTCGAGAATATTTTCAAACAATTTACCCTTCACAACAAAAATTAAAAGTTTTGTGCGCCAAAGAATAAGATTTTAAATGAAAATTTATGGCTGATTCGAGTTTCATATTAGAATTTTCAGTTTGATTCTATTTTTAGCTTCGATGCGAAGCTGAGAAGGTATTGGTTTTACTAAGATGTGTTTTTTTTTTTTGTGTCTGTTATCACTTTTTCTCAGCTCTCACCGAACCATTTCTTTCAATGATACGTCAAAAGATCACAAATCGTATCTAGTCGAAAACATTACCCTCAAATATTGCTATATCATTTTTAAAAATAACCAAATCAATATAATTATTATTATTATTATATTAATATTACAATATTTTTTATATAGATGAATGATATCATTACCTTTCATTTGGTATATTTTTTTGTACATTTGACCCTTTACCTGCCCACAGGGGGAGATTTAAAATGACAACTTTTTCACAAAAAGTTAATTTTTTTAACTTAAATTTTGAAAGTGTTCCGGAAGGTCTGACACTTTTATATATATATATTAAATTAAAGCTAATATAATATACTTTATCATGAAAAAAAAAAATTTCGGACTTTATTTTATCTTCACGGTGAAAATGGCTACCGAATGCTATTTTTGTGTGAAAATTTTCGATTTTGTATTTTCCATTTTTAACTTTATTATGCTATAACTTTTTGAAAAATGTATGGATCAATACAATTTTTTCATGAGAAGTAGTATTTATAAACATCTTTCATTCGACATACTGTTTTTTTAAATCGGACCATTTCCCTATATACGAAGGGGGTTTAAATCTAAAAAATGCATATAGAAAGTAGAACTTTTCCAACTAAACTTTTGAAAGTGTTCCGGAAAGTCTGACACTTTTATATATATCTTAAATTAAAGCTAATGTAATATACTTTATTATGGTAAAAAAAAATTTCGGACTTTATCTTATCTTCATGGTGAAAATGGCTACCGAATGCTATTTTTGTGTGAAAATTTTCGATTTTGTATTTTCCATTTTTAACTTTATTATGCTATAACTTTTTGAAAAATGTATGAATCATTACAATTTTTTTATGAGAAGTAGTATTTATATAGATCTTTCATTCGACATACTGTTTTTTTAAATCGGACCATTTCCCTAAATACAGGGGGGATCCAAAACATAAAAATGCATATAGAAAGTAGAACTTTTTCAACGTAACTTTTGAAAGTGTTCCGGAAGGTCTGACACTTTTATATATATCTTAAATTAAAGCTAATGTAATATACTTTATAATGGTAAAAAAAAATTTCGGACTTTATTTTATCTTCATGGTGAAAACAGACATTAAACTTAATAAAAAAAATACGATTTTTGTAAAAAAATTCTTTTTTATATTTTTAACTTTATAATGCTATAACTTCTCGAAAGATGTATGGATCAATATAATTCTTTTTTTTGTAGATGCATGATGTCTTTACCTATCATTTGGTATATTTTTTTTATAAATCTGACTTTTTACCTGCCTACAGGGGGGGATTCAAAATGACAACTTTTTCACAAAAAATTTACTTTTTCAACTTAAATTTTGAAAGTGTTCCGGAAAGTCTGACACTTTTATATATATCTTAAATTAAAGCTAATGTAATATACTTTATCATGGAAAAAAAAAATTTCGGACTTTATTTTATCTTCAAGGTGAAAATGGCTACCAAATGCTATTATTGTGTGAAAATTCTCAATTTTATTTTTTACATTTTTAACATTATAATGCTATAACTTATTGAAAAGTGTATTGATCAATATAATTTTTTTATGGGAAATACTATTTTCTAATAATCTCTTTTTTATTCTACATACTTTGTCTTAATCAGGATATTAATAAGGAACTAGCAAATCATATAGCTTTTGGAATAATCCACCAATTTTTTTAAAATTAAACACTATCTAAAGATTTGTATCGAAGCGTTTTTTATGATAGTGATTTTAATCACTGTCAGATATCATTTATACNCGTTTTTTATGATAGTGATTTTAATCACTGTCAGATATCATTATACTTGATCCAACTATGCCACGTCACCACTGTGCCGCGACCCCTCTGTGCTGGGTTTTTAAAATAGTCGCTAATAACTTTTATTGCTTAGATTTATAATTATAAATTTTTTATGACGGATATGAAATTTTATAAGGATTTTAATAATGTAATTTTTATGTTTCTAGCATAACTAAATACTAAAATAATTGCTCTGAACAGTGAAAATTTTTTTGATATTGTCACAATAATTTTATAAAAATTATCTATAATTCTAAACATAATGTATTTAAAAATAATTGAATGATGCTAAACGGAGTATTCAAAAAGTAAAGAAACAGATAAATTGTTACAAACAATGAGAACAATTAAAACTCTTTTCCTTAATTCCTAAACACCTATATATTATTTGATGCTAACAAAAAATGTTTAATTAAATTTCATGTTTTATTATTATTTGTTAATTTATAGGAGTATAAAATCCAATTAATACTTTTAGTTTTAGTTTTAGTTATTATTGAGGTGGACATAATGTCTATGCACTCAGACCTGTTGGTCCATTGTGCGCACCTCATACCAAATTGTCTTGATTCGGTTTACCCACCTAAGTGTTATCACCAAAGTGTTAATACATTACCAACCATAAAGTCACCTCAAAAGATGACCAAAGAGTCCTGTCTTTCTGGCGAANCAAAAGATGACTAAAGAGTCCTGTCTTTCTGGCGAAATTAAGTATCTCTCTGGGTTTTAGGTTTTTAATTCCCTCTTTTTCAGAAAATGGTTTATTCAAGTATTTTGATCTTAGTGTGGACAAGGCTTCTCATTCGCACATGATGTGAAATGAGTCTTTCTCTTACTCCACACTTTCTGCACAATGGTGATTCCGATACCCCCATTGGGTTAAGATGTTTAAGCAGGTGACCATGTCCTGTCAGTAAACTAGTCAGGGTGCTTATTTGATGTCTAGTCATGCTATTAAGATCACCCGGCAATAAACCAGGGGTCTTGATAAACATTTTAGATTGTCTAGGTACTACCAAGTACTTCCAGATTTTCCAGTGTTGTTCTCTGCACCAATTCTTGGGTAACGCTTTGAGCAATTGCTCAGTGAGTCCTACCATTGGTTCTAGTCCAACATAGATGTTCTCTGCTCCTTTCCTGGCTAGAAAGTCAGCATTCTCATTTCCAGTGACACCGTTGAGTCCCGGTACCCACGCTAGTGTAACTTTGTTGAACCTCGATAGTGATTCTAAAGTTTCCCTGCATTCGAGGACCAGCTTTGAATTCACCTGATCGTTACAGAGTGCTTTCAAAGCCGCTTGACTATCACTTAAGATAGTTATCTTCCTATTTTTGTATACCAGCAGGTGTGATACCCCTACCAGTATCGCCATCACCTCTGCTTGGAAAACAGAGGGTGTTGTGCCCAATGACATACTGACATTTATTCGTGGCTTTAAGCCCCAAATTCCAGCACCTACCTTTCCTGATTTTTTGGATCCATCTGTATATATCACAAATCCTCCTTTGTCAGTCAGGTGGTTAATATTCCATTCTATACGTGTAGTGATCTCCACTTTGTAGGGAATGTTATTCTTAAGAACCGGTTTGATATAGTCCAAGGGGTATTCTAAAAAGCCCTTGTCTATCTCTTTTAGTATTTTACCATGTTCTGTTGTATCACTCTCCAAAGTCCACATACCTAAGTTGTGGAATCTTAGTGCTGTAGCTTTGGCGTGAGCTTTCACCTCTAGATGCAGAGGAGGCAATCCAATTAGTGCCTCTAATGCGACCGTTGGTGTAGTTCTTAATGCTCCAGTGATGGCAATAGCAGCCATTCTCTGTATGCGACTAAGTTCTTTCCTAGCTGTAATGAGTGCTGTTCTGGTCCACCAGACCAGGGCACCGTACAATATCATAGGTTTAATCACTGACGTGTACAACCAATACATAACTCTTGGTTTAAGACCCCATGTCTTTCCCAAGGCTCTGCTGCAAGTCCACAATGTGGTCATTGCTTTTTTGATTCTTGACTCAACATGTGATTTCCATTTTAGCTTACTATCCAAGATAATACCTAAGTATTTTACTTCTGATTTTAAGCTAATTTCTTGTCCATTCAGAGTAAGAGTGTCCAGGTTGTCTAGTCCTATTCTCTTTCTAGTGAACATAACAACCTCTGCTTTATTTGGATTAACAGATAGACCGTACTTACTACACCATATCTGTATAGTGTTAAGTCTCTGTTGTGCTAAGTCAATAATAGTGTCTGGGAATTTACCCACCACTGCTATAACCAAGTCATCCGCATAGGCTTGTGTATAACAATATTTGTTTAACTCTCTAATAAGCGAGTCCAATACTAGACACCATAGCAAGGGGGATAGAACCCCGCCTTGTGGGCATCCCTGTTTGACACTCTTGATTACTTTGGTCTCATTGAGCTGTCCCAAAATGGAGCGTTCCTTAAGCATGGATTCTATCCACTTAATAATAAGTGGTTCTATTCCATGCTGTTGTGCAGATTCACACATAGCATCGAAGGGAGTATTGTCAAAAGCCCCTTCGATGTCCAGGAATATACCTACTGCATACATTTTATTCTCTACAGCTTTCCCTATCTTAGTAGTTAAGCAGTGTAGAGCTGTATCAGTAGATTTCCCCGTTTGATACGCATGTTGGTTTTCATGTAAAGGGTTCTCCTTAAGAGGCCCCTCCTTGATGTACCTATCAATAAGTTTCTCCATAGTCTTAAGAAGAAAAGAAGTAAGACTTATTGGTCTGTAGGATTTTGCTTCATAATAGTTAGTGCGGTTAGGTTTGGGTATAAACACTACCCTAACCTTACGCCAGCTTTCTGGTTGATAACCATAGGCAAGGCATGCCCTAAATATTTTACAGAGATGGAGGACGATTATCTCTAATCCTTCTTGCAGAAGTGTAGGGAAAATTTTGTCTCAGTCTGCAGCTTTAAAACTGCCAAAGGCTTTTATTTCCTATCTTATTCCACTTGGGATTATCACTTTCCTGGTTAGTCTCCAATCAGCACAGGTCACACGTTTGTCCTGTGCATCATGTTCCTGTTCTCTGTTGTTAATTGCAGAGTCAGAAAAATGTGTGTTCATCAAATGTGATAATGTTTCATTATCATTATTGGTGAGCAATCCGTCTGGCAGTAGTATTGCCTCGACAGTTTTGTTTGGTCCATTTCTTAATGATCGCAGAAGTCTAGTTGCTATAGGGAGTTGTTGTATATCCCCACAGAACTTCTTCCAGCTTTCTCTTTTGGACTTTTTCAATGCAGATTTGTAGTTCCTTTGGGCGTCCTTATAGGATTCCCAGTGTTGTTCNTCTGGGCGTCCTTATAAGATTCCCAGTGTTGTTCCTAACCTGATTTCATTGCTTTATTTAAGAGCTTACGTGAACTCTTTCTTAATTTAGACAGGTTAGCATTCCACCAAGCTACACCCTGCCCTGTACCTTTCCTTTCTATTAAAGGACAGTTTTCTTTGTAAGCTGAGACAATGGAGTCCTGTAGCATATTTACAGCCCTTTCAGTACTCTGTCTCGACCCCAATCTAAACTGTAGGTTAATCAGGNGTCTCGAGCCCAATCTAAACTGTAGGTTAATGAGGTCACGAGAGAGATCTGCCCTGTATTTGTCCCAGTTTGTTCTTTTCGGGTTCCTATAGTACTCCGTCTCAACTTTGTTAATTTCCAAAGTGAATCGTAAGTGCCTATGATCAGAAAGAGAAGGTTCGGAGGACACTTTCCACCCTTTTATCTTTTGAAGTAACCCTTTTGAACAAACTGTTAGATCAATGACTTCCTGCCTGTTCCTGATAACAAAAGTAGGTTCACTACCTCTGTTCAGTATACTTAGGTCTGTAGTCAGCAATAGATCCATTATAACCTCTCCTCTTTGGTTGATGTTACTGCTCCCCCAAATAGTGTGGTGTGCATTAGCATCCATACCTAGGATTAGTTCTAATTTTTCATTTTTGCAATAATTAAAGAGCATAGTTAGGTCCCTACCTGGGTCTGTGACCTCATATGGTAAGTATCCTGAAGCTACTATAATGTTTTTACCATCATTTAGTGTTACTCTAATAATAGTCAAGTCTGCACTTGATAGATTAAGTATCAGGCTGGCTTTAACTTTATTATTAACCAAAATGCAAGTTCTTGGTTTATCTGCTTGTTTATGAAACAGTTTAAAATCCCTTAGATTTAGCCCCTTAATCTGGTCCCCATTTATCCATGGTTCCTGAATAAGTGCTATTTGTAAGGGTATTATATGTCTCTCAGTTAGGGTCCTTAGTAATACACTGCTGGCCCCTTTTCTGTAATGCAGGTTTGTTTGCGTGAATTGAATTCTATTGTCAGCTATTCAGAAAAACTGATGTTGACGCTTTAGAAAGCACGCTTTACTGGGTGTGATACAGGTGTCTGAAACAGTCCCTGTGTCACACAGCCCCCCCTGTGGGTGGTGTCCCACCGCCTTCCATAGGTGGCGACCGTGCCTTGGGTTCGCTCTCCACATTTCCTTTTGGATCCATGGAGAGGTTCCCCTCAGCTGTGGCCGTTATTGAGGGTGGCGGTTTCCTGTGTCCCTTTCCCTTACGTAACACACTTCCTCCCTTCCCTTTCGAGGCAGGAGTAAAGTGTGTCCGTTTGCCNGGCAGGAGTGAAGTATGTCCGATTGTTCCTTACCTGTGCCTTACCTCCTTTCCCGAGTGGCACTGGTGATTCCTCAGCCTTCCTCTTCCCAGATTTTTGAGGTGTGAATTTGTTCACATCCTTCCGGGCTGATGGCTGCTTGGGAACATAATCTGTGAAGCAAACTCTGCCCATTCCAAAATATGGACTGCGCTTCAGTTCCTCCAGTTTGACCATGCTGTTTTTGTCCACACTTAGGAACAAAGTTTGTCCTTTCGGGCCAACCTCTGTCTCATGGTGGACTTCCCAGATCGCCGTGTTCAGCTCTGGGTTTTGTTTTGTCAAAATTTCCAAGATCTTCTTGGACTCTTTTGGCAGCCCTGGTATATGAGTGACCATCCGTTTATACTTGATCGGGTTGTAGGCTTCCAAATGGAGTTCTGCACCGTCCCAAGGTTTTATTAGGTTGACATGATCAGTGAGCCACTTAAGAGAGCTCTCTTGGGCTGCACTGATCACCCAATTAATACTTAAAATTGCACTATTTTTTCTCGTTAAATGAAAAATGACGCGTATGATATTGCTATATAAACCTAATGGGCTAGGGCTATAGAAGTTATAGCTTCTTTCATTGATGAATTATAATTATTAACAGTATATGATATTGGCTCTAATGAGTATATGTACAAATACCTTATATTTTGTTTATTACTAATAAGCAAAACAAAAAAACCTGAAGCACAGTAGGATCACGTTACAGTGTGGACGAGTCATAGTTGGAACAAGTATAAATGATATCTGACAGTAATTAAAGTCACTTTCATAAGAAACACTTCGATGAATTACTGTAGATAATGTTTCATTTTAAGAAATTATTTTTCATGAATACTTCATTTTTACTTCTTTCACAAACTTTTATACTTAAATTTTTGAAAATACGAATAAAGAAGTAGAACTTTTCAACTCAATTTTTCAAAATTTTCCAGAAATATTGACACTTTTATTTAATCTTAATTTAAAGCTTCTATAATATACTTTATTATGAAAAAAAAATTTCTAGAAATAGTTAAAATGGATATCTTATTCAAAAATATGCTATTTTTATGTAAAAATTCATGGTTTTGTATTTTTTATGTAATTTTTCCTTAATTCTTTTTGAGTTAAAATTTTGCTTTTGAATAATCCACCAATTTCTTAAATATTTTATTATATAAAAAAATTTTATATACATAAAAAATTGTCATTATTTAATTTTTTTAATTTTAAAAAAATTGGTGTATTATTCCTAAAGCTACATGATCTGCTAGTTCCTTATTAATATCTTGATTAAGATAAAGTATGTCGAATGAAAAAGGGATTATTAAAAAATATTATTTCTCGTAAAAAAATTGTGTTGATCCATACACTTTTCCATAAGTTATACCATTATAAAGTCAAAAATATAAAAAATAAAATCGAGAATTTTTACACGAAAATAGCATTCGGTAGCCATTTTTGCCGTTAAGACAAGTCTAGAGGTCAAATTTTTTTTTTTTTAATTTAATTATATTACATAAGCTTCAATTTAAGATATATATAAAAGTGTCAGACCTTCCGGAACATTTTCAAAAGTTAATTTTTTGTGAAATAGTTGTCATTTTAAACCCCCCCCCTGTGGCCAGATAAAGGGTCAAATTTGCAAAAAAAATATACCAAATGATAAGAAAAGACATTAAGCATCTATAAAAAAAAAATTATATTGATATGTTCATTTTTGAAAAAGTTACGGCAGTTTTTAGTAAAAAAAATGTTAAAAATTTCGAAAATTAGGGATTTTTAAATTTGTAATTTTTTTGGAGGTTTCCCCCATTTACGGGGAACTAGGGAAATTTTTTCAATTTTTAAGGGTAATGTCTTCGACTGGATACGATTTGTGATCTTTTGACGTATCGTTCAAAAAAATCCGTTCAGTGAGAACTGAGAAAAAGTGCTAAAAGACACAAAAAAAAAAACACATCATAGTAAAACCAATACCTTCTCAGCTTCGCATCGAAGCTAAAACACATTACGGTTAAATTAATACCTTTTCAGCTTTGCATCGATTCATTTATTTTTCAATAAGTTATAACAATTTTTAGAATACAAATGTTAAAATTTGTCGAAATTTACCGATTCTACAAATTTTAATTCTAAGAAAATTAAAGTTTAAAACTTGTATGCAATATTTTCCATTTTGAAAAGATTTCATAATGTATGACCTGTATTTTTAATTTTAACTTTATTATTAAATCAATAATTAAACAATTGCTAACAAAATTATTTTACAAAAAAATTATACATATCTTCTATTACGTACATTATTTTTTGTTATATATATAATCAATTCTCTAAAACATATTGGCATAATATAAATTTAAACGTTTATAATAATTGGAATACTTATTTCAAAATAATTTTAAAAATGACACTTAGATTCCTAACTTTGATATTATTCATTATAAATATTTTTCTTGGAGTTGGCATTGTTAATTGTTTCATAACACAAAAAGAGTATGCAATTTATTTTAAAGAAGTAACGAAATACATAAGTGATAAATTAACAAAGATAAACCTGGAACATATATCAGTTAGTATATCAAAAGATGAAATTATAAGCATAGAAGATGCCCTAAAATATAAAACAGAGAATAATAATGAATTATTAATTAAATATAACATCATAGTTGATTTTCTCAACTATTTATTTTCTAAAGAACTACAAAATTTTACCGAACACTTAAAAATAATTTCAGATGATTGTGACATTTTTTTTAAAGAAAATTCATTTGAGAATGCGACTTATTGCACAATAGGACTTTTCAATGCAGCTAAAAATTCAAATCTTATGTTTGAATATTTATATAAAGCTATTATATTTATTGACTATTTAGACGTAAAATTAGTGCTAAGAAACTCGATTCATCCAAAAACGATAGTAGAAGAAATTTATACTGTTAAAAACTATATCTTTTTAATGAAAACGCGAGAAATTTATAATTATGTAAATAATGCCGGAAATATTAAAATAGAAGTACTTTTAAAAGACTTTATTGAAATAAATAATTTCGTTGATAAAATAGTTGCAATAACAGATTCAATTAATAAAAAAAATGTTACTATTATAAATAGTAGAACGGAATTTAATTTACGAGAAAAGTACTATGGAGAATACATAAATAATAAGTCTGAAATGAATTTTGTCGATTTTGTTCGAGAANAATAAAGTACTATGGTGAATACATTAATAATAAGTATGTAATGAATTTTGCCGATTTTGTTAGAGAAAAGCTATATCATTATTGTTCAGAAACCATAAATAACATTCATTTGAAAATAGGATTTAATCAGTTGCTTAATCCTACTATACCCGAGTAAGTTTTATTTTTAATAAAAATATTGTTTTTTAATTGGAATTTAATTTTTAGAGTAATTATAAAAACAAAAATGAACGGTAGTGTAGTAACGGTAGTAAATTGTGTGGTCTGAATTGTATTTTAAATAGAGTATACCATTTCAGATTGTAAATTTTTTTGTTAGATAAATCTTCTAACAAAGACCTAGTGGATTAGTTTTCACTATTACTGTTGAATACATGAACCCAACCAAACCCAGCTGACAACTGATCCCTTTTGTCTTTGCTTACCCACTACCACTCCCATCATGACAATTCTATGTGATTGGTATACGGTTTAGCTGTCTCGTACGAAACAACAATGTTGTTAAATAAAAATTATACAAAATTGATTTTTTAGTATGTTTTTCAGAGTCTAGATTAAAATAGCTATTGTTTTATTTAGGCTTATGCCCCCTCAAAACTCCAACCAAAATGAAGCAATTAAAGCACTAAACACTTTGTTCCGTGAAGGAGATTGGAAGCTGTTAAATCATATAAAAATAATAATTGATGATGAAATTATCACTACTAATCAAATTACTCGAGACACTGTAGACGATTTTAATTTTAATATGAAAAGAAAATACTTTACACAGCTTATAAGGTGCAGATATACAGAAATATTGAAAAAGTATGACATTTATATGTCTGCTGTTATACAAATATGCAAATATGAAAAGTCCAACAATTTAAATAACTTTGTAAATTGTACTCTTCAATTTTTTGAAATGGTTAATGATTCAAAAGACATGTTTAAGTATATGTTGTTAGCTTTAGATAAATTACAAGCTTCTTATATTTGGGAAGTGATGTATAATTCATATGCATGTTTAACGCAAACCTATAATTTGTTGAATAAATTTTTCTCTAAAATTGAAAATCTTAATTTTAGGAAAAATGATTTTATTAATTTATCTTTTAATGAACAAGAAAGGAAAGTAACTAAATTTTTAATTAATTTTCAAAATGCTCGAAAAAATTTTACTCTAAGAATTAAGGACGGACTTTATTCTGTTAATGAATGTTGCTTGATTGATGGCGAAATGTTAAACAAAATTCAATTAATAAGTTCATGGGAGAGTGTTGTTTCGTCAGCTAATAATAACATCATACTCGAACGTCCATTACTTTTGTATGAACATGGTTTGGAAAACTTTAAGACGTTTTTTAATATTGCTATTACAAGTGAATACAACTGTTTAGGTTTCAATAAAATAACTATTAACAATTGAGGAAAGTTTTATATTTGTCTTTTTTTTTATATTAATGAACTTGATAAAACTTTTAATTGTTTTTTTTTTAAATTTAATTGTTTTATTATAAAATTACTGTAGTAATATTTTATTTTTATTTTTAATAATTTACAGGACTACGAATTTGGCTTGTTAAATTGTATATATTCATATAAAATATTATCAGCATTTGTTTATTCTAATACAATATTTTTAATGTTGTTTTAGTTGATATTATATATTTAATTAGATTAACTACATTTTGATAAGGGTTCATGGTAAAACCAGATTTTTGTTATTTTTTGTTTTTAAATAAAATCTTTATTAAAATAAAAATGCTTTTTCTATAAAATATAGAGAATATATGACTAATATAAAATTTTATAAGGATTTTAATATTGTAATTCTTATGTTTCTAGCATAACTAAATACTAAAATAATCGCTGTGAACAGTGAACATTTTTTTGATATTGTCACAATAATTTTATAAAAATTATCTTTAATTCTAAACATAATGTATTTAAAAATAATTGAATGATGCTAAACGTAGTATTCAAAAAGAATAGAAACGGATAAATTGTTGCAAACTTTGAGAACAATCAAAACTCTTTTTCTTAATTCCTAATCACCAATATACTTTTTGACGCTGACAAAAAATGTTTAATTAGATTTCTCGTGTCATTATTATTTGTTAATTTTCAGGAGTATAAAATCAAATTAATACTTAAAATACACAGATTTTGCTCGTTCAATGGAAAATTTCACGAATAATATTTCTATATAATACTAATGGGCGTGGTCTATAGAAGCTATAGCTTATTTTATTGATCAATTTTAATTATTAACAGTATATAATAATTATTATAATAAAATTGTTAATAATTATTTATTAGTTACTTATGGGCTCTAATAAGAGTATGAACAAATACCTTATATTTTGTGAAAGGTTACAAATATTAAAAAAAATCAAACAAATTGGCCGCATTGAAAAATTTGTAACTTCCATGGCACATTGATAAGAAATGGTCGCTAACCCACTGGGCGAGTCACTGTATTGTCGGACCACAGTAGGATTTAAAAAAAAATGAAATATTGTAAATTAAATGCAATTTAAGATAAAAAAAGAAATATAAAAATAATAAAGATTAAAGTTGATGTCCGTTGAGTCGTTGATAGTTGATGTACACCAAAACCTCGTTACAGTTGTCACATAACCATATAGATCAGGGATGACCTTATACAAGGTCGTTGCCCGTACCTTATAAACTAGGGGAGTTGATTTTTGAAAGGAAAAAAATACACGAGTCCATTGAAGATGGAACAAGCAAAAAAAAAAGAAAAATATGATGATTAAGTTAAATTAAGGTAAAGAGCGGGGTGGATGTACACACAAATGCCGTCCATGAACCGGTCTGAAGTAGTACACAGCTGAGTAGTGATGGGAATTTCGGGTCAATCGAACGATCCGGATCGTTTGGATCGGATCGTTCAAATGACCCGTTCATATAACTCGTTCTTTCGTTCATTTCTTACGATCGGTCACGGTTCTTATCAATTACTCCTTACTATGGTTTTCCTGAACGAGTCGTTCAAATTCGCATTTTCACCATGTAACATTACCGTGATATCAGAATTTTTTCTGATAATACACTTGTATAATCGGGTTATATATTATTTTTTCAAATACAAATTACTTGAAATAACATAATATGCTGTTATACACGAATATTTTTGTATAGAATAAAAACAAATAATTTATACTAGCGGATGAGTTGCGGTACATAAATCCATAGAATTTGTTTCTATAATAAGCGAAATCATTTAAATTATTTGTTTTCATAAAAGGAGTTTTATAGAGAAATTAATTCACCTAAATCAGATATTACAATTTACAGCAGCTATGACCAGATTATAAAAGAGTGAGGTGGTTTAATACCTCTCACAACAATTATATTAGTCTAATAGTCAATTTTTGTCCTAGTTGCTAAATTCACTAATTCATAGACCTATTTTCGCTTATAAATAATTATATGAATGTAATATTTATGAAATAAATAGCTATATATTGATAATCAAAATTGTTCTTCAAATGAACAATATAGTAGGATACTTGAAATAATCTAACTGTATTAAACCTGCATGATTATGTTAGTAGAAACATGTCACAACTTTGAAAATTTAGTCTGCAGACCTACAATAAAAATGTTTTTATCACAAACCAAATAGTGTTGCTTTTAAACTCTCATTGGCAATAAGTATTTTTTTATTTAATTTTTTAAGAAAACATTATAAGTATATACTTATAAAGAATATATTCTTCGTTTTTTTTTAAATTTTTATATTATAAGAATATAAGGTTAGGCATAGGTTTTAACCGAAGTGCAGGTAAACGTTCAGTAAATGAACGAATCATGAATCAGTGTGTCCGATATATTGCGTGAAACGAACGAACGAATGAACGATATCTATTTTTTTTGCAATCCGGATCAACTCGTTCAAAAAGACCCGTTCGTTCGTGAACGACCCATCACTACAGCTGAGTATCTCTCACGCGCACAAACAAATCACAACACCTTATCATGATTATTTAACTGATAAACGTCGTCACTGTACGCATTCGGCTCAACTCAAATATATACAGAGTGGCCCACCATTCACTGACAACTTAAATAACTTTTGATCCAGTTAATATTTTTAGCTGATTTTTTTTTAAAATAATATCTTTTCAATATACTTTTGAATGAGAGTGATAAGTAATAATTGCCTTATCTAATTTCTTATCATGGTATTAATGCCATGTTTGTAATGTATACACATTATCATCATATGTATACACAGTAATCATGAAAAGATAGCGTTTTCTTCTGTCCTTTTCTCAATACG